CTTCGGGCGTGCTTCGAGCCGATCGCGGCTTCTATTTCGGCGCGTCAGAGACTGCGTACTTGGCAGCAGCTCGGGTCGGTTCAAGACTACACGAGTGGTTTTCTCGCATTATGCGAGCAAGTCGGCTACATGCACGAAGCGGAGCGGGTGGACTGTTACGTTGGAGGGCTGAAGCCGGACATCTCGCACGAAATCATGCTACGCGGACTCTCGAATTTCAACGAGATTCTCGTGCTCGCCGAGAGAATCGATATCTTACGCCGTCCGAGACCGGGGTCCTACTACGGACATCGCCCTCGGGGACCGATCGAGCACGCCACTGTACATGCCGTTGCGACAAATGCAGCTGCCGCGCCGTTTAAGGGGCGCTGCTTTGCTTGCAATAGGCCTGGCCATCGCAAGAGTGAGTGCCCAGAGGAGCTGAGGCACCGCGGAGCAGAGCAGGGGAGGGAGTCTCCAAGGCAGGGAAACGCCAGCAGTCGGGCCAACTACTGACGAGACTGCCTGCTCGCCCAACCTCACCGACCCTCACCGAGTCACAGTACCGATTCATGCTATCGATCGGGCTCGGACGAACAAGGAGGGTACAGCGACGGATTGCCCAGTACTGATCCACGGGAAAATACAGGGAGCAGCAGTGAAGATTTTTATAGACGGGGGAGCAAGTCACCGTTTAGTTAATACCGCAACCGCACGGAAGCTGCAGCTGACACTTAGTCGGTGTTTACCGGAGATAGATGCACGCTTAGTCGACGGCACGCCGCTGGCCATACGGGAGAAGGTGGAAAGAGTAATAGTCCGCTGCGGGGGGAACTTTGGGTTCGCACAGGAAATGCTCGCGACGACATTGGATGGGCACGACATTTTACTGGGACGTGATTGGCTGCGACGATATAACCCGCGAATCGACTGGACGACGGGTAGCTGCACTGTGCGAAGTAGCGGTAACTGGGTCATACTACCTCGCTGGCAGTCGCCCGAGTCTTCAACGGTCCACGTCAACGCCATCACGATGAAACGGGCTGTCGCCGCTGGAGCTGACGTGTACGCACTGGATATAGCATTGGTAGAAGAAGCAGAGCAGCCGAGCGATTTTCAGAAACTGTTGGCAGTAGTACCGCCCGAACTACAGGAACTGTTGAAACGGTACCCGGGGATTTTTCCGGACGACTTACCGGAGGGACTGCCACCTCAGCGAGCACACGACCACCGAATAGAGTTAGAACCCGGGGCACAGCCAACCGTACAGCGACAGTTCAGACTGACACAGCCCGAGCTTGACGAACTGAGGAAGCAGTTAGATTACCTACTGGAGAAGAAATTTATCCGACCGAGTTCATCACCGTTCGCCGCACCGATACTGTTCACACCGAAAAAGGACGGAGGTTTCCGCATGTGCATCGACTACAGAGCACTGAACAGGGTTACAGTCAAGTCGCGATACCCCATTCCCCGCGCCGACGAAGTGATAGATCAACTGCGAACAGCACGGGACTTTTCGAAAATTGACTTACGCGGAGGTTACCACCAGATTCGGGTCGAACCATCGGACTGCGTAAAAACGGCATTTCGAACTAGGTACGGGTCATTCAAGTACACCGTGGTGCCATTCGGGCTGACCAACGCACCGGCGACATTTCAGATGACCATGAACGAGGCGTTTAGGCCACTCTTAGATAAATGCGTGATAGTTTACCTCGACGACATCCTAGTCTACAGTCGTGATAAGCAGCAGCGCTTAGCAGATCTGGAAGCTGTGTTTAAAGTTTTAGACGAGCACAGGCTACTGACCAAGGGTTCGTTAATGGACACGGTAAAAGCATGGCACCCCCCGACGAACATCACGGAGCTGCAGAGTTTTTTGGGGTTCGTTAATTATGTGCGTCGGTTCGTCCCCGACATGGCACGGTTAACTGCCCCGCTGACGGATCTACTGCGGAAGGGGGTCGCTTTTACGTGGGGGGAGAAAGAGCATGCTGCCTTCACTGCCCTGAAAAATATTCTTTGTTCACCGCCCGTACTGCGCATCGCCGACCCACACCGCCCATTCGAAGTAGTTACAGACGCAAGCGACATCGCCATTGGAGCCGTACTGCTACAAGATTTCGGCAACGGTTTACAGCCCATCGCATACGAGTCACGAAAACTGCATCCGCCCGAGAAAAATTACCCGATACACGACCGCGAAATGCTCGCGATCGTGCATGCGTTCAAGGTCTGGCGCTGTTACTTGACCGGCGCAGACGTGACAGTACGGACAGACCACAGATCACTACAGTACCTCCGCGCACAGCCCCACCTCAACCCACGACAGATCCGCTGGCTCGATTTCCTCGAGTCAAACTTCCACTACACGGTCACCTATAAAAAGGGAGCATCGAACATTGCCGACGCACTGACCCGCCCAACTGCCCAGATCCACGCCATACTACTCGCACATACCAGCCCATTACTGACAGGCCTATTTACCCACGGATATCAGACAGACCCCTTCTTTACCGGAGGCAACTCGCAGCAGTTCGCAGCAGCAAAAGGGGTGTATTATGTAAAAGCCGGCACCGACCGCATCTGGGTACCGGGCTACACTTTACTAAGGGAACTGTTACTACAGGAGGCACACGACGGGGTTACCTCATGACATTTCGGGGTAGAGAAAACACGACAGCAGCTGCAGCGGTATTACTACGGGCCCGAGATGCTGACCGACGTGCAACGACACGTGGCATCGTGTCCCACCTGCCAGCTCATGAAGTCGTCACGACAACGACCGGCAGGACAGTTGCAGCCGATACCACCCCTAGAGCGTGCTTGGCAGCAGGTGACGATGGACTTCGTCACGGGGTTACCGGCTGGAGCAAGTGGGAACGACGCGATCTTGGTCGTCGTCGATCGGTTGACGAAAATGGCACACTTCGCAGCCTGCAAGAAATCAATCACAGCCGAAGAAACAGCCCGCCTCTTCATCTCCACCGTCGTTCGATTGCACGGGATACCCGCATCAATTATCAGCGACCGCGACACGAAATTCACCAGCAACTTCTGGCGAAACCTGTGGCAGCAGTTCGGCACGCGACTACAGTTCAGTTCATCATACCACCCCGAAACCGACGGACAGACAAAACGGACAAATCAGACCATGGAACAGCTCATCCGAGCCACGTGTGACGACCCGACCACGTGGGAACAGCAACTGCCACTCATCGAGTTCGCGTACAACAACTCGCCATCTGCCACGACCCAACAGTCACCGTTTTACCTGAACTACGGACAAGACCCCACAGTACCCATTGAGAAGAAACGAGGAATGAATGAACTATGAATGAATTGGGTACAAGTACTAACCCTAATTGGGTTGTACCCCTTATGGGCTACCCCACTATAGCCTACACAATATGCATGAGCTATGTGTTCTGACACCCATGACCCCGAATCCCGACAACCCAGTCCCACGCGCGCAACAGTTCGCAGAAATACTGCAAGCAGCACGGACCCGAGCAGCAGAAGCAATAAAAAAATCAAACGTCATCGCTAAGCGCAACGCCGACCGACACCGCCGCCCCGTCACTTACGAACCCGACGACCTGGTATTACTCGACACTCAAAACCTCCGCCTGCCCATCACCCCAAAACTCCGCCCCCGATATTGCGGGCCATTTCGCATCAGCCACATGATCACACCCGTCACCGCCCACCTCCTCCTCCCTGCTGACTGGTACGTCAGCCCGTCATTCCACATCAGCCTGCTTCGCCCATACGTGTCATCCACCAGCCAACTGCCTCGCAACCGCCCCGCCAGCATGACCCGACCACCGACAGAGCCAATCATCACGCCCGAAAAAATACTGAGCCACCGAGTACGTGACCCACGGGGAGCCCGCAGGATCGAATTTCTGATCCGCTGGAAAGACAACTGGGTTCCCCTGGATAGAGTCGAGAAACACCCTGTCCTAACTGAGTATCTGCGCAGCCAAAACTTTCGAGATGTACACGCGCTCTCGTAAGAGGGGCCTCCTTGGGGAGGGGGGTAGTGAAAGGAAAATTCCTTTTCCTTACTTCGCGTCCCTGCTTACCGCGTACATGCCCGTTCCCGCCATCGGCACCCATCCGTGAACGTTACCCGCTCGCGACACTCGCCTCGACCACGACTCCCGCCACTGTTCACAATGCGACCCAACCTCACGGTTCGGTTAGTAACCCGCGCTTCGGACCTCCGCCTCGACAATTCCCAACCTCGGTGCTAGGCCCGTAGCGCACCCCAATTTCCCGCATTACCGTTACCACGATAGCTTCGCTATATATTCTTCGCTCATGCCTTCGCTCATTGTATTGATTGCTTCGATAGTGCAAATCTCACTCGCTCGTTCAATTGCACTCGTAACAGCATTCTGCAAGTTCATTCATAACACATATTGTTCAATCTGCATGAAGTAACAGGTCCTTTCCAGCACTTTACCGGGTACACGTCATTCTGAAGCGGCTGCGAGTTGACTGGTGTCGCTTTGACGGTGGCATGACTGAAAATCAGGCCACCTGCAAAGAAGCTTCGTCCTCTCGGCCATTTAGGTACAGTAGTATTTCTCTACCGTTGTGTCGGTCGGGCGAAAACGTTTTATTTTTTCAGGCTCGTTGCAATAAGCTCACTTCAGCAGAATTAGCTAACAGGGGATTGGCTACAGCTACAATGGGGAGAAATTCCTGGAGGTGTGCCAATCTCGTCAACGGTCAGGAGTTGGGCCTTTCTGCCCCAATCCCCAGTTTCCAGGTGCTTTCGTGGTGAACCGTCAAACCACGACAGGGGAGACTGCAGTACGGAGTTGGGTTGGAAGCAGAGACCCTTCACATTCGTGAGTTTGCATACCTGGAGGCAAACTGTAGGGGCAGTAGCTGCTGGTTTTGATGAGAAGGGCGCGTTTCACGGCTATCGCTGCACACAACACGATCAGCGAGCTTTCATTTGGTTACCACTGAGCTTCCCCTGAACCTCACTCCACCCTACTTCCATGCCTTGCATCGCGCCCACTGCACCCCGTTTGTCCGTCCCTCGGCTCGCTGCCATGTCGCCCCTCGACTGTCGCCATCATCGCGGCGCCCTCTGCAAAGCCGCGCTCCCCTCGGCTGACGAGACGCATTCGCCAGATCGCGCGATCGGCGTGTCAAGCTCTCCGCCATGCCCGCTCCGCCACCACTCGCTTCCGCCGCTCGTCCTGCGTCGCCCAGCCCTGCCGGCCCCCGACTCCACCGCTCGCTCCTGCCCCGCGCCACCCCCCGCTTCCCCGCCGTCCCCCCCTGCTGCTGCCATGGCGTGGAGGGTCACCACGACAGACTCAGCAGTGCCTTGGGGGCCGGCAGTGCCGTCGCACGCCACCATGCACGCGCCTAGCGCAGGCTTACCGGGTTGCGCTGAGTGCGGTTCGCCTCAAGGCTGTGGGCGCGAGGCGTCGTGCGCCGCGTGCGGTGCATGGCGACAGCGGCTGCTCGCGCTCCTGGCCTCCGCAACCGCGAGGGTCCCGGGGGATGGAGAAGGCAAGGAGCAAGGGCCGGCGGTAGCGGCGCACGGACGACACGACGAGGTGCGGGTGCAGCTGGGGGAGGAGCAGCAGCGACAGTCGCTGGCGCCGCCGCAGGCAGCAGCGCTGGCGCCACTGCCGTGCGACCGGCCATGCGTGAGCGGCGGTGCGTGTGGCGCACTTGGTGGCGACAGTACGTCGTGTGCGGCAGCGGGAGTGCGTGGGGGTGCGATGCAGGGGCACACGGATGGTGGCGTCGGGGACAATGAACGGGACGGGCGAGGCCGTGCCATGGGCATGGCGGGTGTGCGCACAGGGGGCGAGGTGCACGGCACGCATGGCGCGCTGCAGCAAGAGCAGCGAGCGCGAGTGCAGGGGAAGGAGGGAGCAGTTTCCGCAGGTCATGATGGAGCATCCCGCAAGGCAGCGCCGTGTGGCAGCGCGCCCCCGCAGAGAGAGCGCGCAGGTGCAGCTGCGGATGAGCCGCGGTCAGGCAGAGGCCACGAGTGGGCCGCTCCCAGCATGAGCGTCGCACAGGTGAGCGCTGCTGTCGTCACTGCTCCCGCGCCACCGGCTCCACTGCTCTACGCTTTCTGCCATGGCTCTCTCTCCTTTCCACTCCCATGTCGTCGCGCCGCACCCCTCGTCCTGCCCTTCTCGCCTGACCCCCCCCTTCTCGCTATGCTCTGCCCCAGGCGCCACCACGGGTGCTCGCACAGCGGAGCACAGATGCAAGGCCAGCAGCAGAGGCAGCAGGCGAGGAGAGCCCGCCGTGCCTGGTGCTGCCGGTGGGCGTCAGCCCTGAACTGCTGCTCGCGTCACCAATACTGCCGCCCACTCATGTGCGTCACGCCTCTCCATTCTCTCCATTCCTCCACCCCCCTGGATCCCACCCAACCCCCCTTCCCCTCCCCCTTCTCTCGCCTTTTCATCACGCTCACTAGCTCACACGTTTCACTGCCACGTCATCTTTTATCTCCGTTTTTCCATTTCTCACTCACTCGCCCTTCGTTTGCATGTCTCATTCCCTCTATTCCACGTGGCCCGTTTCAATGAGAGGCATGGTACTCACAATCATCTCGTGCGCCCCTCTCCCTCCCTGCAGCGCACTTTCTGCCTCGCCACATCGCTGGCATCGTGCCACGCGGCTACAAGAGCACCTTCCTTTCAGCAGCACACTCACGGGCAGCACCTGCGTGCAGCTGCGGCCTGTCCCTGTGCGCGCACCAGCGCCCCTTGCACCCACCACCATGCTGCACGCCTGACCTCCCCAGTGCGCGTGCATGACAGCAGGGGGGAGGAGGTGGAGACGAGCAGGAAGTGGGGGGGTGGTGGTGGGGCATTCGGGGCGCAAGGCGCAGGAGTGGAAGAGGGCAGGGTGCAGGCGATGCAAGAGGCGGCATGTGGCGATGGGAGAGCAGGGACTGAGAGTGCGGTGGGGGTGCCCACCCACGCTCAGGCTGCAATGGAAGCACGCTGCAAGGAAGGGGCCACGGTGGCTGGAGGCAGGGGGCTGAAGCGTGCGCGGAGGGAGGAGCGAAGGGCAAAGGGAGAGGGCAAGGCGGGTGATGGGAGAACATCCAAGGCGTGCAGCAAGAGGTGAGGAGTGGGTTGAGGCGGACGGTTGAAAGGCTGTCTCAAAACGTTCGCACATGTCTGCGTCTGTACCTTAAAGGTAACGGATGGCAGAGAGGAGCAAGCAAGTTGATTCATGATGTTTGTGTGTGCTGAATGTTGGTGGCATGACATGTTGCCCCCCTGCAGGCATTGTGCGCCACTCGAGTTGGCGTCCCGCCCATGCTCCATTGCTGCTGCGGACGGGGGGCAGCAGCAAGAAGCAGTGGGGGAGAGGCAGGCGGAACATGAGGGGAGTGAGGGGCAGGGTGGAGGCAAGGGTGAGAAATTGGTGGTGCGTGTGACATGTGAGGAGGAGGCGGTAGAGGATGGGTACAGGTGGCGCAAGTACGGTCAGAAGGTTGTGCGAGGAAATACGTACCCTCGGTGAGACTTGCCATGCCTTCCTGTCACCCCCTTCCTGCCACCCCCTTCCTGTCACCTCCTTCCTGTCACCTCCTTCCTGCGTTTTACTTCTCTTCTTTCCACCACCTCCACCCCCCCCCTCCCTCCCCCCCCCTCTCAGGTCAGCACCGATCAGTTGTTTTTTCCTGTGTCTCTCCTGCATTGTTCGCCCCCTGTCATCCATCCCAGGAGCTACTTCAAGTGCAGCCATGCAGGATGTGTGGTGCGCAAGCATGTGGAGCGATCGAGCCGCCCACCCTTTGATGTGGTAATTACATATGAGGGTCGGCACAACCACAACCTACCAGCAGCAAAGCCAGGGCACGTGTACATGTGCTTTGAGGGGGACGGGGTGTTCACTGTGTCTGCTGTTCCTGCGATAGGTGCTTCTGCAAGCAGGGCAGAGAACAGTGAATAAGAAAGGATTAGAGCAGGGCTCTTGCTAGGATTTTGACCTGTCTGTTTTTTTGTCTGACCACAATACTAAAAGCTCAAAATCTCAGAAATAGAATGCAACGGAATGGTTTGTGACTAGCAAGATGGGATACAAGTACTAAACCCAAAAAAGAGTTGTACTCCCTAGAGTGCTACTCACTGAAGCCTAAGAACCTATAATAACATTTGACACACCTCCATAGGCTAAGTGAGGGGCATCAGAGCAAGCATGGTGAACAAACGGTCACAAGACCAGTCAATACAAGAAGCAAGGCAAGCTCAGGGTGGATCTCAAGGACACCACACATATTCCGAGCACAAGCAAGCGGTCACAAGGCCAGTTCAAGAGTTCACTAGGATATATAGCAAAGCACAACAAGCAGAGCAAACAGCATGTCTACAACAACCGAGGGCCTACCTCAACAAGCCCCAACTACACACAGAACCTGTGGTGGTCACCAGGCGCCAAGGCCTTGGTGAAGACGTCGGCAGTGTTGGCCTCTGAGGCCACAAAGTCCAAGCGTGCCTGGCCGCGTCGCTGCAACTCTCGCAGGAGGAAGTACCTCACGTCAATATGCTTCACTCTGCTCTCCAGTCGAGGCTCTCGACACAGGAGGATCATGGCCTTGTTGTCAGCGTACAAGGTCGGTGCAGAGCGAGGCCGCTCACCAAGGTCGGCGAGCAAGAAGGTCAACCAGCGAAGCTCCTGTGCCGCCATGGCAGCAGCGTAGATCTCAGCCTCTGCACTGGACGAAGCCACAGACGACGACCGTGTAGACCTCCACGACACAGCACCAGCACCCAGGCTGAAGCAGTACCCCTGAGTCGAGCGCTGAGTCTCCACGTCGTCAGCGTAGGAAGAGTCGCAGTGACCGGTCAACACAACTGGCTGCGTCCCTCCAAGCACAAGCCCCATGTCTGATGTAGTCGCCAGGTACTTCGCCACCCTCACAGCAGCTGTCCAGTGAACAGGACGGTGTCTCCCAGTCGCAACAAACCGAGAGAGGACGCTGAGGGGAAAGGCGAGGTCCGGCCGAGTACAAGTCATCAGGTACATGAGGCAGCCCACAAGCTCTGCGTAGGGACCACTAGACTCAAACGGCTCGTCGGGAAAAGGGCCAGTGAGTCGGCGGTCAACGGCAAGAGGAGTGGGCTGTGTGGTGGAGAACTGAAACCCGAACCGCCGAAGCTCCTGCTGCACCATGTGTGACTGAGTCAGTGTGATGGTGCGAGCGGCTCTGTCCCTGGTGATCTGCAGGCCAAGGTAGCGCTGCAGTTCACCGAGGTCAGTGCACGTGTGTCTCTTCTGCAGTTCGGACTTCACCTCATCCAGAGCTGCCCTGTCTGCTGTAGCAAAGACCAAGTCGTCGACGTACACTAGTATAAAGAAAAAAGTGGAACCAGTGCGAACAAACAGCGACGGTTTGGCAGAGGAAGGACAAAACCCAAGGTCACGAAGCGTGGAGCGAAGAGTGTCGTGCCACTCACGGGGCGACTGGCGGAGACCGTAGACTGGCCGCCGCAGGCTCCACTGGGTCCCAGGTGGGGAAGGTGTCAGTGAAGCCAGGAGGACGGCGCAGCCAGATCTCCTCGTGTAGGCGGCCCTGGAGAAACGCAGTGGAGGAGTCAAGGGAGTGCAGCTCGTAGTCTCGCTGCGCTGCTACGTGCAGTAACACCCGAAGAGTAGTCATCTTCGGGGTCGGGGCAAAGGTCTGGAAGAAGTCAACTCCCTCACGCTGACTGAAACCCCTAGCCATGTAGCGCGCCTTGAACACAGGCGGTGAACCAGGAGGCCGCTTCACCTTGAAGAGCCACATGCCATCGACAACGTTCGCCCTGGGAGGGGGAACTGCGTAGACGTACGTGCCTGTGGATCTCCAAGACGCTAACTCTGCATCCATAGGCGCTTTCCCCTAAGAGGCCCACTTCCCTGACACTGCCTCACGGTACGTGCGAGGTGTCGGTATGTCAAGGGCGTCGGGGTCTCCCTCAAGGGAAAGCAGCATGGCGCAGAGAGAGGGGGAAGTGGCTGCTAAGAACTCCAGCTCAAACTGCCTGTCCTCTAGGACGTCACAGCCAAGGGCATACTCACCCCCGACGGACAGAGGACGGGGAGGTGGAGCAGCCACCACACGCGTGGCGTAGTCAAGACGGCGGGTGGAAGAAAAGTCAGCGACAGTGGCAGTAAGAGCCGAGACAGACGATGGAGAGGCACGAGGGTCGGTGACAAGAGAGGCAAGAACACGGGAGACAACAGGGCGAGCAGCACGGTAGTAGTCAGTGATAGGGTGAGAGGAAACGGTGAGAGACGACTCAGGAGGTGAGGGGAGAACAGACACAGGCGGAGAACGACGAGGAGGAGAACAAAACAAGACTGTGCGCAGGTCGGCAAGAGGAGACGAGGGCCGAGCACGCGGAGGACAACGACTGGTCCAGTCGTGCGGGACAACAGGAGGAGACGACCGTGACAGAGGAGGAGAGAAAACAGCTGGAGTCGAGTCCGGAGGAGGAAACGTAGGACCGTACGCAGTAGGTGACTGGGAGTGGATAGGAGGAGAGGAAGGAAGACCGAGGGCCCGAAGGCCACTCACTGGAGGGAACAGCTGCTGCAAAAGTGGCGGCTGCGGCGTCTGCTGCTGCTGCGTCTGCTGCTGCTGCTGCTGCTGCTGCTGCTGCTGCTGCTGGTCCAACTGCTGCTGCTGGTCCAACTGCTGTTGCTGGTCCAACTGCTGCTGCTGCTGCTGTTGCTGCTGCTGCTGCTGCTGCTGCTGCTGCTTTTGCTGCTGCTGCTGCTGCTGCTCGTCCAACTACTGCAACTCCTGCCTCTCCTACTCCAACTGCTCCTGCTCCTCGCGCTCAAGCCGGCGAAGGGCCTAGAAACGGGTGTCGTGGCGGTGGGGAGGCGCAGTGGGCGACGCAGTAGGCGAGCCTCCAACTACTGTCTCCGCAGTACCAGCTCCTACAGCGCCAGCACCTCCTGCTCCAGCACCCCCAGAACTAGCACCACCAGTGCCAGCACCTCCAGCTCCAGGACCCCCAGAACTAGCACCTCCAGTGCCAACACCTCCAGCTCCAGCACCCCCAGAACTAGCGCCTCCAACGCCAGCACCTCCAGCTCCAGCACCCCCAGAACTAGCTCCTCCAGTGCCAGCACCTCCAGCTCCAGCACCCCCAGAGCTAACGTCACATGCGCCAGCACCTCCAGCTCCAGCACCCCTCGAACGAGCACCCCCAGACCGAGTACCGCCAGCGGCTGCACCTCCAGCTCCAACATCAACCGAGTCCACAGTAACCTGTCGCAGAAGTGCCAAAGGCTGCTGAGGGGACTGTGAGGAGGACTGCGGGGAGGGAGACGCTACCTGACGCGCGACCGAGGGTAGAGGGGTAGCGTGAGACACACCTGACGGGGCAGGACCAGGAAGGGGTGGGGGGACCAGAGGAGCAGGAGCAGGGGGAAGAGAGGGTGCGAGGAAGAGGGGGGGAGGGGGAACCGGGAGACCTCAACAGGGGTACCGGGTGTAGTAGGACACGGACTCGTCAAACCGGACGTCACGAGAGTCGAGAAACTGGTGGAGGGGCGGGTGGTAAAAGGAGTAGTCGGGAGAGCCCACCGGGAAACCAAGGAAGACACTGGGGATGGCGTGAGCCGAGAGCTTGTCCGCAGAGGTGTCGCCGACAAGCGCAAGGCAGCCCCAGACGTGAAAGGCCGACCCAACACCAGGGGACCCTGTCCAAAGACTGGTCGGTGAAACCTCTGGCCGCGAGACACGCGGCTGGAGGTTCAGCTGGTGCGCGGCGTAGCGCAGCGCGTAGGGCCACAGAAAATGGGGCGCACGGGCATGGATCATGGACGTGCGGGCGATGTCCATGACCAAGCCAATGCGGTGCTCAGCAACCCCATTCTGCTGTGGGGACTCCGGCAGCGTCCAGGACTGTCTGATGCCCTGGTCGCCGAAGAACCCGTCAAGGACGCCGGAGCGAAACTCACCCCCACGGTCGGGGTGGAGACAACGGACACGACTACCACGAGTGCCCTCAGTGGCCAGAAGCCACCGGATCAGCGTAGAGGTCACCTCGGACTTCTTCGCGAGAGGAAACACCGTGGTGTACCTGGAGTAGTCGTCAACGACCACTAGAAAGTAGCGCTCTTTCTCAGGTCCCAGCGTGGGGGCAGGGCCCTAGACGTCCAAGTGGAGAGTCTGGAAGGGAGCAGTGGCCGGACGAAGAGAGGAGGAGTGCGGAGTGGCGCGCAGGCGGCCGGCGACGCAAGGAGTGCAAGGTGGAGCGAGCGAGGGAGGGAGCGACAGAAAGACGCGCGGGAGACCTGAGACAAGACTGTGACTAGCCATGCTGCGGAGGCGGGGGATCAACGGGTGGCCAAGACGGTGGTGCCACAAGACGGTCGGGTGGGCGAGAGACCGACAGGAGCAAGACGCAGCAACCTGACCAGACGCAGCAACCTGACTAGACACAGCAACCGGAGGGGACGCAGTAACCTGACCGGACTCTGCTACCTGGGGGGACGCAGTCACCTGACCGGACTCTGCTACCTGGGAGGACGTAGTGTGCAGAAAAAAGAGACCTGAGTGGGGCTCCCTGGTGAACGTGGCAAGAAGTGCCCCGGTGGAAGCGTCAGTACAGATCGCCGTCCTCCCGTGCGCAGGAAAAGTGACTGTGATCCCACGGTCCTGAAGGTATCCAACACCCACCAAGTTCCGAGAGAACGAGGGGATGTAGAGACCAGTGAGGAAACCAGAAGGGACAGCCGGGCACGGGAGAGTGGTCGAGCTGCGAGCGACTGCTGGTCCTGAACTAGGATCAGCCAGGGCAACTGGGACTGGAGCCGAAAGAGGTGTGACTGTGGTGTGGTCGCGGAAGAAGCACTGCGACGCGCCTGAGTCCAGTGTGAAGGAGAGCGACGCGAAATCAGTCGTCACGGCTGGACTAGTGACTACAGAAGCACCTACACTAAACGCACAAGTA